CAGGACCCCCCCACTAAAGCTGCTCTTACCTCGCCCCCCCCTTGGCTAGTGTGAGCAGCAGGGTTGAGTGAATGGAGCACCTGGTTTCTAATGGGGGGGCTGGTTGTGTATGTGGGGGAGGGGAAATCCTTTGCACTTGATAAAAGGGGGGGTGTCAGCCCTACCCCCATGGTTCCCTCCTCCCAAAGCTGGTCAGAATTTCCTCTGCTCCTGGCCCCCTCCTCTAGGCACCTGAATTCTGCTTGCCCTTGTGGGGGCTGTTTGTTAGACACAAAAGCCAGGCCCTCCTCTTCCTCTCCCAGTCAACTGCACAGCCCTGGCCCGGTGAACAGCCTTGACGGATGACTGCAGCATCCGCTCTGCCCCTCGGATGTAACCTTTCCAAAATAAACGGGAGGGAGTGAGGGACAGACCCAATTTGTGCAGGGAGGGAGGGGAGGGCAGGATCAGAATGGGATCCAGAAGGGGAAAGAGAAATGGGGGGGGGGCATTGTGCTAAATGTAATTCAACCCCCCCCACACACAGATCCTGCGCTCCCTCCCCCCATGCCCTTTGGAGTCAACGGTGCAAGGAGGGTGCCAGAGTTGGGTTCTAAAATGAGCCAAACCCCCTGCCTCTAACTGCCCCCTTCCCTCGCTCGCTCTGTGCCCCTCCAAAGTCTGACGTCTCTGTCCGTGTGTCCTTCCCTTGCTGCAGCCGCCTCAGCTCCGGAAAGCTGCAGGATCTGGGGGTCGTGGAAGGAAGCAAGTTGACGCTGGTCCCCACGGTGGAAGCTGGCTTGATGGTAAATAGCCCTTTTTATTTCCTCCCCCATCTCTTATTGAAGAGCAGGGCCCTGAACGGCTCACCCCTCCAAAGTCTGACGTCTCTGTCCGTGTGTCCTTCCCTTGCTGCAGCCGCCTCAGCTCCGGAAAGCTGCAGGATCTGGGGGTCGTGGAAGGAAGCAAGTTGACGCTGGTCCCCACGGTGGAAGCTGGCTTGATGGTAAATAGCCCTTTTTATTTCCTCCCCCATCTCTTATTGAAGAGCAGGGCCCTGAACGGCTCAGCCACACACGCCGCTTCCTCCAACTCCGTCCTGTTGTATGGAGGGGAGGTTGGCGGGGGGGCCGGG